TCCATCTAGATGGGCATTTCGGAAATTTACCGAGGGATGGATGGTTGGGACGCCCTGAGCAGGGTGTGGACTCCGGATTCGATCCTAGGATTATGCTTGCGATGGTGGGCGCCACTCAACTCACTTCCTAGAACATATGTGGAAAAGATAATTGCTCCGCTAATCAAAACTCACAACCTAGCCTCTATTCAACGTTGCGGATCAAACACATTCAAAAGAAATTCAAATCCGATGTAAGAGTAGATTATGATACCTGTCACAAAATACGGTCGTTTTCAGATTTTTTCTTAGCGATTCAAATACATTTTCCCTGAGCTGATTCTTGGGACTTCACGATGAAGATAGGAATAACCTATGCAAGAGCCCACTGACGTAACCACTATTTCTGTAACTTGACAGTGTGGTCAAACTGCCCAGCCTTCTGGAGAAAAACGTCGCGGGTGATAGGGTGATGGATGTTAGAGAGCGCAGACAGCGGCACTGGGACAGTAATCCAGAGAATTTGTAAATAAAAAACTTTGTAATCACTGTTACAAAAAAAGCTCATCGACTTCAAACAAGACGACAATGAGGAGCTGATAGCTAGTCGTTTTGTGATATTTTCCACTGCAGGTCTTTATGTCTTTCTTCTATCCATAGCACGCTTTGCCTTGACTTTCTAGGAGAAAACTCTTCATTCACTAATAGATGACCCGAGAAGAACTTCAGTCCCCAAGGTGATGGGATTGGGGACCGAAAGGAATGACAATTCGTTCGCTCTAAAAAGTGCAGCAGCACCCCTTCAGTAGCAGCTGACGCCCTTCCAATTTTTTTAAATTCCCTTACTACCTACTAGTAATCGACTACATCCCGTTGCTCCCATCTTCCTTTGAGTCGAGGACATATCCTAGAGTGAGACAAAAATAATTTGCTGGTATTCTCTCTAGTGTCAAGTCTCTGTCATCGGCGCACCTCTAGTCCAACCAATTGGGAGAAGGAGTTTGGGAGGGAAGAAGCAAGGTGCCTCGGGTGCAGGGTCGTCACCGTTTGATGCGAAACCACTATAGTCGCTTACGTGCTCGAACCCTAGAAATTGGTATATGAACTCGCCACGCTCAACTTTGCCTGTCAAACTTGTGGTTAGGTCGTCAATGGCTCTGTACTGACTCAAAAATGCCGCGCATCGAAAAAGTCGTTCAAGGCAGGCTGCCGTTACATCGTTGAGTATAAACGCAACTTCATAGTCTCTTAGCGTATACATAATTGCTTTCTAATGATTATCAGTGGTAAGTAGGCGACTTAAGCGGTTTACACGGACACCTATCCAACTAACAAAGTTTACAAAGAGTTCAATCATCTTCCTATAATCTAATTTGATACTTGTTTCCCTCTTTCTTTGAGCTTTTTGAACGCTTTTCAGAGAAAGAATCTGAAGTTAGCCTTTGATATAAAGCTGATGCACCTGCTGTTGTTTGTATTGTGTCCCCATATAGAGCTAAATTAATAAATAGAAAGGTAACCGGTAGAACCTACAATTAAAGATTCCCATGTGATCTTTTTTTCTGAAAAGAATTCCATTCAAAAATTGACGCCAGTGTACAACGCGTTCCCTTCATTATCTACGATTAATTGCCTCCTAGCCAATCGAAAAACCTTGACTTGGACTCTCAAGGCAGTAGAGGGGTCTCTCACGAGAACAACGCTCGACCGTATACAGTAAGGACGACCATACCATACGGCGTACAAATCCTTACTTTTGATCCTTTCATCGTCCAAAACTGACCAATTGATTCTTATGATCAAGGACCTTTTCCAGTTATTTATACTGTTCAATAAATTCCTCAACAATTGGTTCAAAGGACATCTATGATCACGCCCTATTTCCACTCAGCCTTCGGACCTTGAACCTGCGATAATCACTCAACGTGAGTTCTGCTAGTTGTTCAAAAGGAAATATCATGGATGGTTGGGTGAAATAACGCAGTGCAGGAGTAAAGTGTGTGCGATCAAGATCAGCTACATAATCTGACTTTTTCGCCTGTTTCCCTGTCTCTCCTCTAACTACGAGGTTGTGCGAAAACGCTGGAACGGATATTTTCTCACATGGGTCCAGATTCCTCCACGGACTATAAAAGGAGCTGCTCATTTGTATGCGGAAAGACATCAGGAGACCTCATGATATCGCAAAAGATTGACTAGATGTAGGTTAATCGTCGACCCTTTCGGTTCAGGCTATGAAAGAGATTCAGGAGTGCACAGAACTGTTCCAGAAGGGGCTCTGGAGCTAAATGCTTGACACAAATTTCGATGGGTCCCACCAGCGATGTGGCCTGACTCCAACTCGCAAGTGTAAGGGTCAAACGTAGGGAGGCAGATCAGCCATTATGGGGTGGAATAAGCAAGCAAGAGGTAGCCTGACTCGTTATTAGTTTAAGCATAGGTAGTGCCTTCACAGAGAAACCCCATGGTAGCTTCAGAAAATTTTTCGTGATATTCAAAATATTGCGAAACTTTCGGTAGATACTTCCCACACAATCGTATATCACTCTATATAATTTCCTAGTGATTTTCAATGCTAGCAAAATTCGTGATTTCTATAGGAGCTCGTCCGGTTTCCTTATCATGTCCCGGACCCTCCTTTATCCGTTCGATGAAAACCCCTATCATAACATGGCCACGTGTGGCAATAAATGGATCCCCTCACTCAATAAGTCTTCTCCCCAAATTTTTACTACGAAATAGCATCCCTTGTCCTGCCTTTCTGGAGATTGAGGGATGTTGGAGGATACTGTAAACCTGAATTCGATTTTTATCTATTACAGAACACTTTCATTTCCTTCAAAAGTTAACGGTTTTGTGAATACGGTTCCAGTCACCCAAATGGTTTCTAAGTGGTTATCACAAAACCAGGTGGAAGGTGGGAGCTAAGAACGCACTGAAATACAACCACATCCATCAGTGAGAATGGAACTCTCGGCACACCCAAAGAAGAAATCGGCCTGGAATGGCCATTATCCACTTCAGTAATGGGAAAAAAGTGCTAGACGCCGGAAATTTATCTCCAAAGGGCGAAGAAATTTGACAAACTCTATGAGCTCATGGAAAAAAGAGAGAAAATTTCGAAAGCAAAGCGTTTCGCTATTGTTTTGTGCATTAAAAGTGAAAAATGGTTTAGACTATGTAATAACAGAAAGAGTGTTTGAAAGAAAATGATGGTTCCACTCTGCTCAACCATACGAGCCACAAAAAGTAACATTTCCATCGTTATAAGAACGATCTTACTGTAAACTCTTCTATGCGATAAGAAGAATATCGGAAAAATTTGAAACTGTCAAACTATGCATCATAAATAAAGGTCACACCGATGGATACCAATATGTGAGTCGTGATTTCTAGTAAAAGTCAGCCATCTTGCTCAGATAAGCAGAAATTTACTTAGAACCTGAAATATTTCTGGATCACCGCACACCATTTCTGAATTTNTAAGACCTGGGGCTGGTGGGTTCCCTCTGCCTGCGGGATCGAACGTGTCCTAGGGAGACTGTTCAATTCCTAGAATACTTTCTGAATTCTGATTTGATAGAACATGGGTTGGAAACTGCCACCACTGTCGGCTCGTCAAAGTGATACCTCAGCCCGTGCAATGCTCTCTCGACTGGACTTATGATGTCACTAGTGGTCTCACAAAGGTAGAGTTGTCAATGTTTTGACAGACCTTTACTTAGCTGAACTGTAAAGAATGAGGGATACTAACAGAATGAGCCCGAGAATGACTCATCCTCCAATTCGTGAGGGAGGGTGAAAACGCTTCCTAATGGTCTCACAAAGGTTAATTTGTTGGTGTTCTGACGCCAACGACTTAGTTCACCATGACTGACACTGCTGCAAAGTTGGATGCATCAACAATGGTCATCGTCGCTCTGCTTGTGCCTTGTCGTCTTTCCTTGTGTTCGCACTCGACTTCGTCTTCCATTGTACTCGCTGGTCGTTTCCATTCTTTTGTACCCATATTCCGGCGAGAATTCGAGTTCGGTGAATACTACGTAGCTGAAGATTCTTCGCGATTGTCCTTATGTAGGAAAGGGAGGAAAAGCGGAGGGCAGGGACAGCATTGTCGCAGTATTGGCGGTAAGCGCAGAATGGAGTGAAGATGAAATTTCAACAGCAATCAGGACCCAATATACAATATATCAGGGCAGACATAACGAGCATAGCCAACCGGAACCTCAGACCATATTTGTGAAGGCGAAAAACTCCCATCCCGACAGTGATACAACATACAAAAAATTGCTGCCCATACTTCTTTTCTAGAAAGGCTATTTAATAGACTCAAGCTGGGTCTTCGTAGGCATCGTTGACATCGCAGACCTTCGTCTCTATCTCTATTACCTCATACGGTCTACTTGGACATGAGTTCTGGATAGGATGAGGTCTAAACAAAAGTGTTTTGAGTTGATAAACCCGCTTCGAGATGCCCCCTGCATTCGACCTCCATTCAGGATTGCGTGACGTTAGGGGATGAGGGAGGAAATGTGGGTTCAGTCGACATACAAGGTATTATTTCACACCCTCATAATGGTAGTAAAAGTGGGTTTATGAGAAGTGGCGAACCGTGGCCAGTTTTTCGACGACTCAAGATTTTTGAGAGCCTACACTGTTACTCTCTTGGATAGAAATTCCAGGCCTGCCTACGTATTCGGGACGTCTCAAATTTTCCCCTTCATCTATGTTCATTCCTCTATCCTCCCAGGCAGCGAAGTTCGTTGGAAAATTAATTTCTCGTCGTTTTTCATCAAATTCATTGCTTTTTTCATGAATTTATCGTAATTTTCATCAGGCTCCCCCATGCGCTCAGCGCCATAACTCACTTGAAGGCGGTGACTTTGTTTGATCTGGATGGCAAATTCAGATACAGTAAATAGTTTTTTTTTTGCTTTTTTGGACCAACTCCCAGATTTATCTGACATCTATGTATTCTGAGTGAAAAGAAAACCTGTCCAGCGCCTCGGAATAATTCTCTTTAGTCAAGAGTCGAATTAGCTCTTATGCAAGACTCTATCGTCGAGAGAGCTGGTTTTCCGAAATTTATGAACGAAAAGTATGGTAATCCATTAAAATGAGACGTCACGAATTTTATAAGACATCGTAGGATTGATCGTTTTGGAAATTTTAGTAGAGGTGGTCCAATGTAGTCATAGATGGTATAGCATGACCGGTTGTGCTGCTGAATGAAAACTGCTCCACGAAATAAGTAATTTAATGGTTGCAGAAAGAAAAAAATTTGTTAATGTGTAAAACGCGAGAAAACCTAACCTCTTAAGGGAATGTATTCATTCACTGATTCCACGTTCGGGATCATATAGCCCACTGCCATGGATTCGGACAACCTAACTGATTGGTGACCTCCCCAGTCACTCTCTTCTTTTGTAGAGTTCCCATTGGCAGGGCATTCAGACATAGGACTCTCCTACAAAGCCGCAAGACCGTCATAAATTGGAATCACTTTGCTTCTTTTGTGACGGTTACAGGGTGTCTAAAAATTATGGGCGCCAATTCATAGCAATGTACTTAAAATTTCTGAGCTGGAAAAGACAATGGATTTTTTATGCACGTTAGCTAACACTATGTGCTACAACGTGCTACGATCACATTACGAAATATCACCCATGAGCGCAGGTAGAGGCCCAAAGTTTGCTCTCGATTTGATTGCATGTTGCACGCAGGGTCCTTCTCCATTTCTCCCCAGCCGTTTGTCGGTCTTGCTCTCTAGGACTCTTAACTGGGACTGAACTGTACAGGTCCCCTTCTAATCAAGGAACATACGGAGGAGTCGAGTGAGTAAAGATCTGGAAGCAGGATGGCCATTCCTCCCCGCCAATGAAGTCGGGCAGCTGTCGCCGGCACCACTCGCTCGCGAGCTTGGCTCTGTGGGGTGGAGTAGCGACCTGCTGGAGAGACTTCGAGTTGTTTCAGGAAGCGTAAACGGATCAGTGCTTCATTACGTCCATCAGTATGCTATTTGAGTACTGGTCTTGGTCACTTTTTACGCCTGCACCGACGAAACCACAAGCGTCTTACCCTTGCCAGTGACTCCTTCTAAAAAATCATTTTACTGTTCTTATAGCAACCTTTTTGTGAAAGATTGTACGACAGATGTTTCTATCCGGAACGCGAACGTTTTGGTTGTTGAGGAATGGTCTTATTCGTGAAAAATTTTCGACCAGAGAAAACGATAAAGGGTTGCATGTCCTCTCTCAAGTGACTTGGCAACCTTCTCCATTTTCAGGCCTCCATTGCCTGTTGAGATCGAAATTAAAGCGAAGCTTCTGCATACAATAGGAGCAGCAATGAGGCTTACGCTTGACAATCCGCCCCACGACAACGTCGTTAGGTCCTGCTCCATTTCCACCTTTTTGATGGGTCACCCAGGTCACGACAGACTCGCAAACGGACCACGTTTAAGGCACAGTTCACAATAATTCAGGGTAATCCAGATTACGACGAAACATGGAAGCTAGAATGGAAAATAGTGCGTTGAAGGCGATGGAACTGCTTGAATCGGTTCTCCACAGTAAGAAATCCTTCGGAAAATCATTAAAAAGAGGGCTGGACGAGAATGAGACCAGAAAATTAAGAAGAATGGGGCGTTCGGACGAGGTATACAGTGTGTGTCATTGCGCATATGTGAGTCCTGGTGCGAATAGCTGACCACTGCAACGGAAATTCATTCACTCATAAGCATAAGTTACCAAAATCCCTAGTACTAGCCACCTTTTTCAGCTTCTTGAGGTAGAAAACTAGAATAAGGATCGTAGCAGCAAAAAGAATAAGAGAGAATAAAAGAGTGGGGTGAAAACATCGCCTCATTACTCAGCGGTCAGCTGGTTGTGTGGGGATTCTTGAACGAATATTGGAATCTATAGCCTCGACACTTGTCTAACGTGAAAACGATCAGAAGCGGCAAGTCCGGGAGATCCGGTAATGAGGCGCTCTTTATGCTCTAACTGTTGAGTTTTGGAACTCGACAGCATCCTTCATGTTACCCTTAGGGGTCACTGTGTATTCCTAGGGGGAGAACTCAGACACCATTTTATCGTAAACTGTGCCTTTAATAGTCCTATCTTTGGAAATACTGACCTTTCTACCCCTTCCTGATTTGCCTTTAATTGAATCTTTTCTCTGTATCGTTTTATGGCCTTTTCTACGGATATTATAGGAGTCACAAGAAATTTCATAGTGCCATTCCGCCTCACGCATGCCAAAGATTGCAAGTGGCAATGAATGAGCCTTGGCCATCTGAAAGATATTGGGAGTTCCACATCAGTAACTATGCATATTGCAAGAAAATCTTTTTATGCAACTAATTAATAGCGGGTAAAGTGAATCTGATGGATTGTTTCTACCTCAGAAACTTATGAATTTTCACGCCCTTAATTTTTGAGGCACCCCGTGGAATTTGATATCGACGATTTTGCCAGCGCTTTAAATGGGGATACGCTCCCTTCGATTGCTATAAATTGGCCCATTGCATCTATTGTTAGCTGCATTCCCTGCAAATTTATGCTGCACTTTTATTATATTTACTTTTCATTTTGTACGTCTTCATATGAGCCAGAAAAGCGAACAATAATCAGAATCGACCCACGCCCCACGGCAATATGTTCCTAAAGACGTATCGAATAACGATTTGGTAGATGTTGAAGCTTAGAGCCACTGTACATTGGCATATATATTACACCTCTCTCCCTACCTCTACCTCTACCGTTACAACTTTTCTAGAACTTTGTGAGTGAAGAGCCACATTTTGGAGGAATATTCACGAGGGAATTCTTGAATTAATGAACCCCGTATTCTACGGGATTGCTCTAACATCTAACATTTATGTGGGACGGTTGATTCATTCGTAAGCATCGGTTGCGGTTTGCTCCCTATTACATACTCGTAGACATCAGGACAACGCCTAGCGATTTTCCCTGTGGAACCACTTCAATTCCAACATTTCAAGGATCTTCTACCGCGAGCTGACTCCGCATATCTTTTTTCTCTTATCACTGTCTGAATCCCTCGGTTCTCAGTAATTTCTCTACAAAACTAGATAGTTTAGTGGGAACGTAATAAATCATCTTTGCAAATTTTTCTGCAATGTTTCCGGCTGAATGGTGGGTATTGCATATCCTACTGAATTATTGTCAAAATTGAAGCAAGATCCGATCCTGCATAGGCATAGCCTTCGTAGAGAAGCGGTTAATTTTTCAGCAAAGCAACTGTTCATTACGAAAGTTAATTAATAATTTAGCCTTGATGAGAAACAAATGTTCTCTCGACTCATACTTTAATCTTACACCAATTCCGCGAAAGAGTCAGCGCATCAGTTCAGAAACTGTAAAGAGCTACATACCGGGACCCAAGAAACGGAATAGAATGAGCGGTGTGTAAGACTGTCCGAGTTTAACATGCCGACCCACACTGTCCATTGTGATTCGCAACTTTAGAAGCTCTCCCACTTGCAGTGGGCATATGAGTCAACTGATGGACAGCTCCGTGATGAAATAGACCACATCATCTTCATTTGGAGGCTTTGAGTGTCTGTCGTCGCTGTTATTCCGAAATTCTACACGGGTTCGGACATCGCGTCCCCTGCGCTAGATTCTATTTCTCAGTCTGTGAAGAGAGAGCTGTGAAGTTCAAGAAACGACGCCTCAACATAACTGGGATCACTTCGCTTCACTGGCGAGCTTGTGGGAAGACTCCGTTATCGACAACATCGATGAAAAATACAACCGGCTCGTCGAACACCTTTACAATAGTGCCAAGAAAGCAGAAGGTCACAAGTTTCCGAGAGACGTCTCTCTATGAAGACGCTCCAGCAGATATACCACCGTGAAAACTTGCGAGCTACGTACAGGTAATCATCAACTTCATTCCGAACTTGAGAAGCTACGCAGAGAAGCGATAAAGGAAAGTCCCAACGAGTGGAAAGCCGCCAAGACCGGGCAGAGCATTCGCAAAGCCCACCGAAGCTTTGTCAAGTATAAAATCACGATGAATTCCCTTCGTCGTCGTGAGGGAACAGTTACGCATGTCGAAGAACAGTGGAGGAGGATACCTACGACTTCGACTCGATTATCTTTGCCAGCCAGGTCCACTC